TTTTCAACTGGAGATATACCATCAAACAAACTGCTTCACCTTCTTCCAAAGAACCCCCTCCAATTGCTGTGACGGATCCGCCAGAGCCAATTGTCACCTCTACCAAACCCTCACCAACAGGCAAACCAACAAGCCACTGGACAGCTGAGCCAGAAGTAGAGAACGTCGTTGAGGTCAACACCATCGTGATTGAAGTCTGGTCGTCAGTTTTCGAGGTGCAGTCTTTGATTTGAATGATTATTGCGCCTAAATGTATTGCGTAGGCATGCGAGCTATTGTTTCAGTTGGTGCGAGTTACTGTCTAATCAAGTTCGACACATTTTAAGAGATCGATGCTTCAGACAGATTTCAATATATTCTAAAGGCAATAACTCCTAAATGCAAAGATAAGCGAATATACAAAAGACTGATTTGCTGTTAGAAATAAGTACGAAACAATACAAAAGGACGAATGTTAATACAAGCGCAGACTCGTCATATACTCTTTCCTAGTGGCTCTCAACACACGTGCATTGTCTAAATAAAGTCAAAAGGCCCTTATGAATTTGCAAGGCTGCCGTGAATTTCTAATGGGCTTTTTAATTTCAAATATGAAAAAAAAATACAATGAATATCTCATGTTCATGAGATACTCAACTGACAAACCTATTATGTAATCGCGGACCTTTATTTCCTAATTTTATATTGAATAACACTTAAAAATGAATTGCTGATTTCCAAGAGTCTAATGACATAACATACAGTTTGTATAAAAAGAAAGTTTTTACAATTAACGTAACAGAGAAATATAACATAGCCCAATTGTAGTGTTTTGAATCACTGGAACAAGAACTTCTTTTCAATTGTTTTTTTTTTTTTGTTTTGTTTTGTTTCTCTCAGATCTACGACCAGTTAGCCACGTTTAAGCGTGCCATGGCTGCCGAAGTAACCACATTCTGTGCTCAACAAGTAGACAGGAACCCTGCATGTAGAAGAGTGGACAGTGACAGAAGACGAAGATCGTAAGAATGAAATAAGTCTGTTTTTTAAGTAATAATTTGAAGGGTTATTTAAAAAAAACCTTCAAGTTATTTAATAATTTACATAATAGATAAATCAAACAATGCAATGAAAACATAGTACACTAAACACTTTGCCATTAATTGAATAATAATGCGTGGTTTAATTTTTTTTAATCGCTTCGATTTCTTAAAAGTATTATGAAACATTTCAAGGGAACAAAGAGTAACAAAGGGTACATTGCCTAAAACTTTACAGCCATTACTTGAACGCTTGGAATCTTTATTGACAATGCAGCCTTTCTTATAATATGGCTACAATGTCAGAGGGGTTATATGTCAGCTTCTTCCAGATGAGCCACACCAAACATTTATTTGCTGTACAGCTATAAAATTATTTAAATTGCTGGTGTGATTCATTAGGTAATGTTACTTGTGCATATATATTGTTTTAACTATCTATTGTTCCTGTGCCATGTGTCCAGGTATGTGTGCACGCTATCAGCACACTTGCTGCCTAGTGCACACTTTGTATTGTCATGTTACAATTCTGAATAAATAAATGCCCAATATAATTGGTTTCCAGACAGGGTCAATATGGAGTCCACTACACACATAACAATATTACATGCACAGGCATGTTTTCTGCTGATTGTGTATTTATTTACATTTCTATAGGTACAGTGCGTCAGTGTTCCTTCCTGAAGACGTTCATGTTACCGAAGGTTACCCCCAGCCGACGCCCGACTCAACTCGAACCGCACTTGCATTCTTTATGGTCTACTCCGACACAGGGGATTTTAGGCCGGTACCGTTAGGCGTCCTAACAACAGTTGTCCAGCAGTCTCAGTCCAGCCTTCAAGCAGCACTGAATAGCAAACAGATCACCTACATTGGCTCACTCGATGATTACTTGGATGATGATCATGAGACTCCAACTCCCCCCAGTAGTCCAGACGAAACAGACCACGTCCACGTCCCGATGATTTATGTCACCGTCGGCGCTACCATCTTTCTCGTCATGGCTTTCATCATCGCCGTGACATTCTGCCTGTGGTAAGTTTATTTATTTCATCAAGCATTAGCTCTGGTGTAAAAAAAAAAAA